TACTTGGCAATCAAAAAGAATGAAATCATGCCATTTGCAACTACATGGAGGGAACTGGAGGTTATTATGCTAAGTGAAATAAGTCAAGCAGAGAAAGACAAATATCACATGACTTCACTCATATGAGGACTTTAAGAGACAAAAAAGATGAACATAAGGGAAGAGAAACATAAAATAAAAACAGGGAGGGAGACAAAACATAAGATACTGATAAATATGGAGAACAAACTGAGTATTACTGGAGGGGTTGTGGGAGGGGAGATGGGCTAAATGGGTAAGGGGAACTAAGGAATCTACTCCTGAAATCATTGTTGCACTATATGCTAACTAATTTGGATGTAAATTATAAAAATAAAAAAGAAAATTAAAAATAAAAATAAAATAAAAAATACATGGAAGCAAACAAAATTAAAAACATGAGAGCCTAACACCTTTGGGATGCATCAAATCTGGTCAGCAGAGGGAAATACATTGCAATTGATGCCTATCTCAAGAAGCAAGAAATATCTCAGCTACACAAACAAAGGAGCTAGAAAAGGAATAGCAAGTAAAGCCTAAAGCCAGTAGAGGAAGGGAAATCATAAAGTTTAGAGTAGTAATAAATGATATAGAAACAAATAAAGAAACAAAAAACAGTATAACAATCAAACTAAAAGCTGGTTCTTTGAAAGAATTAATAAAATTGATAGACCCCAAGCCAGACTTATCAAAAATAAAAGAGAAAGGACCCAATTAGATAAAATCATGAATGAAAGGACAGAGATCACAACCAAAACCACAGAAATACAGTTATATTAGAATACTATGAAAAATTATATGCCAAAAAAGTGGGCTATCTGTAAGAAATGGACAAATTTATAGAAACTCACAAACTAACAAATCTGTGACAAAAAGAAATAGAAAACTTGAACATACCCCAAAGCAGCAAAGAAATTGAATCAGTAGTCAAAAATCTCCCTAAAAAATAGAAGTCCTGAGCCAGATGGCTTTCCAGAACAATTTTACTAGACATTTAAAGAAGAGTTAACACTTATTCTTCTCAAACTGTTCCAAAACATAGAAATGGAATGAAAACCTCCAAAGTCATTCTACACATCCAGCATTACCTTGATTCCAAAACCAGACAAAGACCCCACTAAAAGGGAGAATTACAGGCCAATATCCCTGATGTACATTGATGCAAAAATTCTCAATAAAGCAAATGGAATTTGACAGTACAGTAAAATAATTGTTTCCCATGATCAAGTGGGATTATTCCTGGGCTGCAGTGATGGTTCAATATTCATAAATCAACACGAAACACCACATTTTTAATATATGAAATTTATTGTCAAATGGTTTCCATACAACACCCAGAGCTCATCCCAACAGGTGCCCTCCTCAAAGCCCATCACCCACTTTCCCCTCAG